GAGCCCATATACTCTGTCATCTCTGTTACTGTCCACTGTGTTGTTGGCACCCCCAGCCATTCCCTAGTGCTTGTCCATCAGCTGAGTCTAACAGCCTGTCTAGAGTTCCTTGTTGTAGGAAGATCAGCTCTTCCTCATCTAGCAGCAATCAGTTGCCAATATTCCTTTAGATAAGATTGGGGTCTGCTGTTCATTTACCCAGTTCTATGCTGGGTTACTGTCTGAGAGTCTCCTGGGCCATCCTGGGCAACAACTCAAAGGAAGGTATCTCCTGTCTGGCATTGTTTCTTTTTGTGTAATCTTTAGCTATACACACGGACTCTTAAAGAATTATATTCCCTTTAATCTTTGGTTGTACTTTCCTTTTGGGTGTTTAAGGCCATAGAGTTGGCCCAGATAAACCAATTTAACTCTTAAGGTCATTTGAGGATTTGTTCCTCAGGGATGGCATGGGCTTGGGAAGAGCCTTTGGCTCCTTTCTTTTACCAGTTCCATCTATGTGAAGATAAGTCAAAGGTCCTGCTTGACCATGGCTGGCTTCACTTAGAAGCATGGAGGAAATATTTCCTCTGTGTTGACCCTCCTCTTTGTAGACTGGACACTGGTTCAAGTCCATCTGGTGGGGTCTCCATGGCCTCCTTGATCAAGAGGACAGGTGACTCACCACAGTTACAGAACATTTTGAGAGATGCTCATAGTCCCCTGCACCTTCATTGACATTGGAGGGCAAGGAGCAAAAACTGCCCTTTAAGTGCCTCTGACCTAATTAGTATAAGCCTCAAAGTATGGCTGTTACACATTCAAGGAGGTTTGTTCCACCAGTCTGGTACTTTTAATTACCTTGTGTTATCTAGATAATCCTTAAGCAAAGACCAAATTTTCTCAGATAAATCCTGCCTAGACATATATTATGTTCCTTGAGCTAGTTGTACATATAATTTCTCAGTAGGTTATTGGGTTAATATGGTTCCCTCTGTTTTTTAAACTACATGCTAGAGATTTTAAAAAATATTTTATTTATTATTTTTATTTTATGTGTATGAGTGTACTGCCTGTATGTATGTGAGTGTACCCGTGTCATACAATGCTGCTGAGGTCAGAAGAGGGCTTTGGATTTCCCTAGAACTGGAGTTAAGGACAGTTCATAGCCACCATATGGGTGCTGGGAATTGAATCCAGGTCCTCTGCAAGAGCAGTCAGTGCTTTTAACCGCTGAGCTATCTCTTCAGCCCCCATGCTAGAGATTTTTAAGGTATACTTTGGGAAGCTAGATTTTAAGGTTCCTAGAGATATTACAATCTATTGAAGCTGTTACAGAGACTACATCCCAGCTAAATAATAGTAAAATGGAACTTAATTAAGCTTTTTACTAGTAATATATAATTTGCTTCTTTTTATGACAGAAACAAAGCATATGTAGGTCATTAATAACTTTCAGAGAGATTAAGGGTATTTTAGGAATGGCTGTTACAACATGGGCATAAACTGGACAGACTTTTACCTAATTTTGTAACCAAAAAGTTACTGTTTGTAATTCAAACAAGCTACGGAGCCATGTGCTCTTCTTGTGACTTGGGCATATGATCTTAATTCCTTAAGACCCTTCCTTGACCACCACTCATGACAGTGCATGGATGTGTGTATGTATGTTTTCACATATTAAAGCCCTGTAAACAGTCTGCTTTTCTCAGTTCAAACAATGAGAAAAATTAAGA